TCCATTACATAGCAATCTCCAACACATTCATTTACATCATAAATGATTCTTTAAATTTCATCTGAACCATTTCTGGGTCAAGATACATAAGCTCAGGATATAGAGTTGTAACACCAGCTAAAGTTTTTCTAGTTCCAATAAATAAATCAGTAATATGAAAATGAGCTTACCCGTTATTGAACAAACTTAGTAAACTCTTTTTTGATATGATTTCAATTTTGTACTCAACTTTCAGTCGGGCAAAATCTTCTTATTAACATGATATGGCCGAAAATCATATTCTGCTGTCTATTCATTACTACATTGTAAGAGTGTATGTCACCAAATACATTACAAATGGCGTGATTTTTATGATTTCTTACTATAAAGGAGCGAGTTCTTATTACATTTACTTTGAAATACAATTCTCATCATAAATACTGAGTGGTTTATGTATCTTTGCATTCACAATTTATTGTTTTTAGTGGTGGTGTAACAAACTTTGTAGTGGCAAATAATTCCTCTAAATAAGTAAATTTCTTGGTATTAAACATCGATTATGACTTCATCAGTTCAAATAACCTGACTTTCTATGATGATGATGAGTATTTGAATTATAGTATGAACTAAGAATCCGAGGAATAACGCAATCGGATCAAGAAGTAATAGATAAACACAAACGAATGTACTGTATTTAGAATTCGAAATCAAGCATTCAACAAATACAAAGGAATCATTAGTTCATTCAAGCACCACACTTTCTCTGACAGTAACGCCCAACACTCATTGTGTATTTTTGTGCTGCATCACTCACATTAGATGTTCCACTCATCCGTTTGTTAACCAGACTAATAGTTCGTTACTCCTTAACCTTTACAGGGACTCATATACACTTTGTTTTCTAGATTAGTCACTCGTTAAGTTAATGCCTATTACGTGAACGCAATTTTTACAGAAGTTTGATATAATTGGAATTTGGCAAACTAGTTTAACTTTTATTATAAGATTTTAACCTTATCCCCACTCCATGAGTAACTCAGAAAATAGTGATAGGTCAAAAACTGTACCATTGTATTATTCACTAAAAAGCATTACTTTAAACAACTAACTGAATAAAACCGATATTAAAATAGTAAGGACCTATCTCTGTCATCACCCCTTCGGGTTTTATCTAACATACAACCAATCCAATAACATACAAGGACGCTGAAAATATGTCTTGTAAAGTGATACTCAAGCTCCCATCATATTATATTTAAAAAATGTTATTGAATAAACCAATTGGAACTGATAGTGAATGCCGGTTGCAGCATGTTTATTTCACTTGGTAACGTGTTGAATAGTTGCGCTGGTAATAACTGGAGTTTTCCGTGAATCGATGAACGATTCCCATTTGCAATGGGACATTTCATAAGGTTTGGAGTTAAGTTCAAACTAACGAAAACTGAAATATCTACTTCCAGTCTTCTAAGCAAGATTTAAAAGGATTTTGAAAGTTTAGTGAACTACTATTCTATCAGTTAGGATATACAGTCTTAAACTATTCTTGTGTTGAAAAGCACGAACGATGTAATGATAGTACCTACGTTATGTGTGTAATTATTAATGAATTTACCGTTCACGTATTCTTTTGTTGCAAAAGGATGTGATTGTAAAGACAATATATCCAAAACCAACCACTTAAAATATTTCATCTAAGTAAAGACATTGTAAATTATTAGAGATAACTTACTTCTAATTGTTTCTGTTTAGCGATCTCTTGCAGATCAGTTCCGGAGGATATGCGACAGACCACACTTAACGGAATTGGTGAGGTTTCTTTCTTCAAAGTTATTAAGAAAATCGAGAAACCAGGTATCCTTTCACGTAACACGGCTAAATACTGTGTTTTTATCGTTGTAAGTGAATCATAGTCAGAACAATTTATCAAATGCCGATTTCATTATGGAGTTCACCTTTTGATAGGTTTTCGTTAAGTTCGTAAGGGAAAAGAAAAACAGTAAAGGGTAAGCACACAAGATGAATTTAACTTTAATGATTAAAGGCGTAAATAACAATTAATAATAATAACAGCGTAAAATCTAGACAACTTGGTAATTAAGACTAGAGGTTGATAGATCAGTGTTTTGAGTGTGTTACATCATGAGAATATGTAAACTGTTCACATACATCGGGACTGTAAAAGCAAAAGTAAGGTAGATTTATGAAGATATAAATTATGCATTTCATATAGAAAACTTAATTTTCTCCCATTGTCTCTCTCTCTCTTTAATAATTAACAATTCCAAGTATGACTATATTATACCTAACGGATTTGGATTTTTTTGCTGATCAACAAGTGAATTGTTAAAATGTACTTCGAAATAGGAGAATATCACTAACCGTTTATGAGATGTTTTATCAAACAATTGTACTCAGTGTTAAGGGAATAAGCACCACACATCCGGGGAGCAATTATTAAGTGGATTTCTTTTCAAAAAGTTTAAACATACATTACACAAAACACAATTTATATTTGTTTGCACTATATACCACGCTGAAATTTTACGAGACTTTCATGAGAACTACGTATGCATGTGTATATTTTTGCAGGCTAAAGTAACAGTTTACACGTAATGTATATTTTATAGGTAGACATGAAATTGTAAAATATATTGTCAATCTATCAGTATTTCTTAATGCTTAACTTGGATAATGAAAACAATGAAGTTATACTAATGTCCATGATGATTTTTTCTAACGATAGAAAAAGTTATTTCTTCCTTAACTCGAATATCTGACATCTAGTTCGACCCTAACCCCCAGTCCAAATTCTCTTACATATAAAAGCACCTTAGTATATTTACCTTGTAAAGGTAGATAATTAACACAAAGATAAAAATATTTTAGTCCTTCATGTTAAGCGCATATGAGTTACGACCTCATTTTCTCCCAAAATTAATGGGGATCAGCTAAAAAGGACTGCCATTTGATTAGTTTATTCATTTTGCCGTAAAACTCTATTATCAAGTTTACTTATTTGTCTACCTATAAACTACCCCATACCATTTTTAAAGCTTATTATCATTTTCAATGTACATATAAAATTGATGAACGTTCCATACCATCATTAAGGTTACCGACTTTCTAACCCTTTTTATCTATCTGTCTATCACTGAGCTTTATATTTTCAAAGGGGTGAATATATTTCAATCATAATTTCCTTGGAATAAAATTCCTTTTCATTCAGGTCAAAAGTCTCATGACCCAAGTGAATTCACGCTCAGTGTATACATAAATGCGTTTTGATTACGTATGTATAATGTTTGACAGGTTGACTTAGAAGTCATGTACGTGATCCGGAAGTTATCAATTTCCAAACAAATTAAAAGCTAATAAAAATTTACATGTTCGGTAACGCGTTACAGTTTGAACTAATCAGTTTTAACTACACCGATCGGAAATGATTTACGTCTCATTGAAATCCGAAGAACCACTTTTAAAAGGCACAAGTTCCTGTTTAAAGAGAGTGGAAGTGGTGTGTGGTTATCGGACTGTAATTTTGTAACATATATGACACTCGGTTTATTTTGCTAGTTAATTTCAAGTTAAAACATCATTCAAAATTACTAAACGTATTTCATTTACTCACAAAATGAACAAAAAGTATCAGCTGCATTACAATATAACAGCCGTATAACCCCCCACGAGATAGAACAACTTTACTTTTGAATAACAAGGCTGTCAGGTGTTTTAGGTGCTAAAATGTTGGTCTATTCGGAAAGACTGCCAATAACACAGTGCTTAGCCTTTAGGAACAAAATTTTACATGGCGAACCTAGTAGTCATAGGGTACTAACAAGTCGGGAGTGACTTCAGCATCTGATGACTGTCAAAAAATGTCCCAACTCACCCGACTCTCTTCAAAGAGACGCTTGATATTAGTGAAACCAATTGTGAGGTCAATTGCATGTTAATTAGTAACCCACTAATTACTCCCCAACGCTAAGGAGAAGATTCTGAGTAACAATTCAAGTTGTTCGTTAAATTAACAGCACCAACTAAATTGTCTTGTCCTCTTTGCTAGGCAACTTATCCAAAGGCCTGGAAGTCCAGAAGGAATTCTGACTTTTGATAGGTTACAACCCATCAATCCCAGACAACTCACCTTCAGGTATTTTCAGTGATTTAATATAAGCTCTGATCAGAGAACTAAGCATATTGTCTGAGAATATCCGGTTGTTTGAGAGTGTAATATCATTCTTCTGTGAAACTATTGTGGCGCTCACCTTCAAAATGGTCAACCTAAAGTATAGTATATTTACTTGGGTATAAGTTTACTTCTAATGGGATATAAAATAATGGTTCTTGTTGTAATCCTCAAACTATGGCGAAATTGCACCACTGTACACTATTGTCTTCAGTGAGCTGATATCTCACAACAGACCTGGTTGAACTCCACTGGTCACGGCTTCTCACTAGAACTCAAGGAAATGCGTCTTGAAGTCAGTCACTAGTGAGCAGATGATTATTATCAGAATGGGCTTTGTGGAGATTTTAGTAATTTCAATAGACCACAGTGGAAAACCTAGAAGAACTGGACGGCCAGTTCGTTTTAGTATGGGACTCCTCAATACCAATAATACTGTTATTAAATTATATTGTTTATTACAAAATAAAAGATAATCGAATGAATGTAAATGTACAATGAAAATAATCTAATAATAATCATATATCGGTTAATAGCACACAGTTTACATATTTGTCAACATTTCCTACTCACAGTACATACAAATAATTATAAGGATAATTTAATACGTTTAACGTTTATTCTGTTTACTCCAATTGATGTTTCAATATTGAAATTATATATTAAAGCGAATAGTGAAGAAAAGAGGTTAAATGAATACATGATTTAGATAATCATTTCATTATTACTGATAGCACTATAATTAATAGTTTCTAATGGATTTTGAAAGACTTTATATTTAAATTGAACATTTGAATAATAACAATAATACGTCATAACCAACGGTAATTGTTTACTTGAATCCATCTAAATAGAAAATATAACAAATGAGAAATTTGATATTAAAACATTTTACCATTTACGTATAACATAAATTTCAATCTGTGAAATTTCTAAAATCTCCACAAACCCCTTCTGATCGTATAACATAAACTTAAAAAAAAACTTTGTTTTGATGAAATTCTGACGAAATGAAATTGTAGAATGTTCAACCTATTGGTAATTGAACTAGGTAGTGATAAATCATTTATCCATTCAAAGAAATAGCTTTTTTTTAAAAATAAGGCTAATAGTTTATAAGAAGTTTAGAATATAGTTAGATAATAGGTGATTTTCATTGGATTTCAGTTTATATCTGAGAACTGACAGGTAATTATATTTAAATTTATGAGTTGATGTTAGCTAGATCACCATTGAAAAACTGGAAGCACTGGACGGTCGTTTCATCCTAGTATGGGACTCCTTAACAGTGCGTATGCACGATCCCACATGTGGGAATCGAAACCAGGACCTTCGGTTTCGTGTGTGAACGCTTAACCTCTAGACCACTGAGTCGGCATCAAACGGTGCTAATGTTTAACGAACCCACATTTCAGTCATTCTATACAGCTGATGAATATGCTGTAAGAAAATAACTGAACAAATTTTATCGTCACAACAACTATCTTGTTCTCTTAAATTTCTGAAAAGGTTCGCTTACCGATCTTTTACTTTTTATAGTGTGTAAAATTTAGAAATAATTCAAACTTAGCACTTTTTGAACTAATGACAAAGATCAAAATTGTATATACTGTAAATTTACATGAATGGGCAGGCTTGCAATAGGTAAATGCCAAAAATATCACCATTTATCTTCTAGTTTTCAAAAAATGCAATGGGTGTATATCTAATTTCTGATATGATTCTCACATGTTCTTGGACAACAGAGAGTGAAAAACGGATATTTATCATACAATTAGTGTCTCAAGTTTGTTTATTTACAGGGTAATCAGTCTTGGATGAAAAATAGCTATAGTGTTGTTACTTATAAGTAGTATCAGTAGTCAGATTAATATTTCACTTATTTCAAATCATTGACATTTCAGTGTTCTAATTCAAATTACACTGAACTTCTTGTAAAAAGTGGTTACTTGGTGACGAAATTTAACGGTCATATGAAGGACTTTACTTAATGTCTTGAATGTGTATATATTGTATACTAGCCAGTTCAAGAAACCTTCCACATCTAATTATACACCGTACAAAATTGAACAATATGCTGTATAAAAACTAATCATCACTTATTTCCCATTAATTTAACAGCTGGACACAATATTCACTACCGAATAAAAGTTCACTATGGTTAGGACATTTCAGGATTATTCGGAATTCTATAGTTCTATTTTTAGGACGTGTTGTTAATACCTCCACTTTAATTAATTAGCTTTACTTTTTCATATTAATGGTAAATGCTTTTGAATCTTTTTGATATTTCAGTAGCCTATTTATTAAGACCATAACTTTTGGTAATAATTCTGATTTAATAGATAGAAATATTGGTTTACAATATTACTGTGAGCATAAAAAACACTAAAAAGAAATAATCAATAGAATTTAACTCAAATAAACTCACCTAGTTTTAGTATCTTAAGAATATTTCAAGAAAAAAATTTGTGTTCATTTTTATTGTGAATAGGATTTTTCCACTTGTTCATGCCATCTTGGTAGAATCTCTGTAAAAGAAAAATAGAAACATTTTAGTTAAGTCTTCCGTCATATTGTCTATAGAAAGAAAGACAAATTCCTTCGAAATGTTATCACTTAATATTCATTTTCACCTGATTCCTGATCATAGAAAAGACTTATATATCAAACAGTTTTATGAAACTGGAGCCTAACCAATTTACTACTTACTGACAAGTTTCAATTTCGGTTTTACTAGTCTCTAAGAAAAATTTACTTAGATTGTAACTTAAATATGGTCATTACATAAAATTATTTTAGATATTAATTTACACCCATTGTAAACTAAAAGGAACTTGTGTCATTCTCAGATGATAGCGGTTGAATGATCTACTTTGACTAAAAGAAATCTTTTTAATAGTCGACTATCAGTTCTATGGTATAAACTTACTTAATATTGTCATTTGACGATATTTTCTGCTCAATGAACTGGATTTACTTAGTTTTATGAATTCTTTTCGACAGATTTCGGGTGTTAAATAGGATTTGGTTTTCCCACACTTACTGACATCAGAATTATTCAATAAATTTCTTGTCCTGTTTAAAGGAATTTGATTTAGTAAAGTACTTTTAGTCAGTGTGATTTCATTTATTTGCATGAACAAATTATGTTTAGGAGGCGGATTATTGGAGGATGCGTTCTTTATGTGTCGAACGTCAATTATATAAAACCACTTTCTCACCGGTATATTCCATGAGTTAATTGGGTTTAGTACACTCTTCTTCTCTATCTTATTATTCTTCAGTTCGAATTGTAGGCTACGATTGCCATCAGTTATCGAATAACTGGGTTGCACATACTTTATTCGTTTATGTGGTGTTTTTAAAGGGTCAAAATGTTAAATCTGAGTTATTGATATATGATGATTTGAATGATGTAGTTTGTTGAGATAAAACGACGGTATATATTGACTAGTTGTGTCAATATACTTCCAATGCCAAGTATCTTTCGGTCGAATTTTTTCATAATCACTCTGTTTGGCAATAAATGCCGATGTCGAGGAACATTTAAATGGATATGTTAATACGTTACTGGATTGTGTTGAATTTCTTGAAAAAAATTTTGATGTCAAATATTCACTGTCGAAGTCATAAATTTCTTGTAGTTTTTTAGTTGATAATGGTATTAAATCCTCAACTTCTTCTTGTCTCATTCTAGTCAAAAGTGCTTTATCTATAGAGCAGTCATTGCAACATGAAAATAATTGTCTTGCTGGAGAATTGACTTCTGAATACACTAACATCTAGAACTTACAAGATGAAAGTAAGTTACTGAGTGTTATATTTATATTTAATAATCTAAATCAAAAGATAAAACTTACGTCACCGGGTCAGGAAATATGTTAACCTCTGACCAATCAAAATGGAGTAAATTAATTTGCGGTAAAAAAATTCGTTTGTTTTATTGGTCACATAGATCAATATTTTTGTTTATATTTTTTTAGTGAGACTTTTTTTCTATCAGTAGCCGGGGTTGAAAATACTCCTCCCGCCACCTCAAGAATTCTGTAGACTAAAATGAAATTTCAAGTTTATCTTTTATAATATGTTAATAATTATAATAGCTTTGACTGTCAAACCTTAAGTGACTTCAGTTTAGTCCTGAATTTATTAATCAGTTAATTCATAATGACAATTAGCAAGGATTACTAGACTCTATGTCTATGTCTTAGTCGAAACTGAGTAAGAAACTGGCAAGCATTAGATATCTCCATTAATAGTCTCATTAGCAATAGAATTACATGAAATCCACATAGGAAGTGTTATAACGTAAAAAATAAATGCTGCGGATTAAGGGTAGCGAATTATTGATCGGACCAAAGACGCACAAACACGTAGAACGACCTAGGGTTCTGATTGGTCTCGCTTCCCTGCCTAGCCCAGTCAATTGAGTCCAGAACGCAAGTCACAGCCTCGGATATATGAATCATTATATTTCAAACATGCTTTGTTTATATACCATTCAAGCAGTCCACAACGTACCATAAAATAGAAGATAACATTGTACAATAATGGCCAACAGGAAAATAACACGTCAAATAAATATTGACCAATAAGATGATACCATTTCATGTCCAAGGATAGCATTAGGCTTAACAGGATAATTTTTGGGGTATTTCCCTGAATATCCCAACACCTCCCTTTTTTGGAGATCCGGAGTTGATGTCCGGATTTTAATTTTTTTTTCCGCGTCGATCCTCCCCCGCGAAATAATGTTGGGTCTTCATAAACCCAAGGAACAGTTAGTGTGACTCTATTTGAAGCATATTTCCCGCGTTGAGTAGAGAGTCCACTAGGACTGACTAGATGGTGAGGATCAGCGACAGTAGATCTGAGGTCATTAGGGTTTAAGTCTTTAGTAAGTAGTGGATCATTATGATAATCGGCGTCCAACAAAACTGTACCAGGTTCTTGGTTATTATTTGATGCGTGAAACACATTTTCTGGCAAAACAATGAGATCTTCTCGTGAGCTGGATATGTTACTGTCTGCACATGCTGTTTCGGGGTTGATGGAGTTTGCCTCCATTACCGGGCATGTTTCTGGAATAGAAAGTACTGGACCACTGGGCGCATGATGGATGACTGTTTCGTTTGAGGTACAGTTCATCGAGGATTCATGGAGGCTGCTGTCATTTTCCAGCTCACTGTGTATTTCAGATATCAATCCATCCACTTCCGTCGCGTCTTCATAGCATGAGTGATTTAGCAGCTGCGTGCGGAATTTGACTAATAACTCCAAATGTCGTTCATAGAGCAGCTGTAATCGATCGGAAGGAAGAGTCATTTTTTTCGAATCAGCACCTGTGATGAAAATTACTGTATGACTAATGACCAATGTCGTTGAAAGACACTGACGACAATCTGGATGCTGATTTGTTGAATGATTAGACTGGGTTTCGTCCAATTACAGAATGACTTTGGATTGTATTTTTTTCTTCACCCCGTCGCCAATTGTTATAACGTGAAAAATAAATGCTGCGGATTAAGGGTAGCGAATTATTGATCGGACCAAAGACGCACAAACACGTAGAACGACCTAGGGTTCTGATTGGTCTCGCTTCCCTGCCTAGCCCAGTCAATTGAGTCCAGAACGCAAGTCACAGCCTCGGATATATGAATCATTATATTTCAAACATGCTTTGTTTATATACCATTCAAGCAGTCCACAACGTACCATAAAATAGAAGATAACATTGTACAATAATGGCCAACAGGAAAATAACACGTCAAATAAATATTGACCAATAAGATGATACCATTTCATGTCCAAGGATAGCATTAGGCTTAACAGGATAATTTTTGGGGTATTTCCCTGAATATCCCAACAGGAAGTAAAGCTGCAATTTGGATCGTAGTCTCACGAGAATTATCAACGTCACTAATGTAGCACAGACAGGTGCTGACTAGCAAGCAACTCAAGTTCAAGACTTCTTTTTAAATAACTCAAGCCATCTAATACCAAACGATGGTCACTATAGCATCAAGTTATTTAACCATCTTTTAATTATTTTAACTTCAAAAAATGATCAGAAGCATTTTATTATTTGTCCACCTTTCACCGGTTGAAATATCAGAATTTTTGAATATCATTTGTTCACTTAATATACTTTGGTAATAATTAGTACCAATTAAAACTAATTATGTAGTCATAAAGTTTTTTCTGAAATTTCATTCATCTGAAGATGATTTTTGACACACACACACACACATAGGCCAACAAGAGAAAAAACTCAAATTGTTGCTTTACCAAAACTCAAACACTGAACTATGCAGAATAGAACTCAACCTCATTATTAAATGATAATCGATATAGATGCCTACATGAAAAATTCAAGGAATTAAATTTCAAATCAGAGATTAAATGACATGAAACTTGAAGTTCTTGAATATAAGTCAATGAGTTATTGTTGCTGGACATTTTCGAAAAGTCATAAATTAAGAGAAAGATATCTGTTAAATGTACCCCGGTTTCAAATAATTTCACAGTTGATGTAAGAATATTGTCAAACTACATATTAACTTAATAATGACTAAAAAAATAACTGAACTCTGCTAAAGCGTTTTAAGTAAATTTAGTTATCAAATAACTGTGGTTTTAAAATCATGTATTCAAATATTATCAAAATGTCGAAAACCTTTTTTAAATATTGACCGGCAATTAATCAAGAATATTGACATTTCAATTCAGTGTGTAGATCATCAACGCTGGTCTCTGTCGAATGATTGGGGGCCTACTCCAGTTAGGTGTGAGTGATGTAACCAACAGCTGACGTCGAAATCACACCTAGCGGTCAGCATCTAACGTGTAGTACCCCTTCGTCCTATCAAGGCACTATGAATGATTTGAAGACCGTACAACACAAAGGACGCTATTACAGAAATATATTATTAAGGATGAGTACAGAGAAGATAGTGGGACCACTACCGCATAAGCCAGCCAACGGCATACGACTAAGTGATGCACGTTGATCTGTTCGATGTCCAGTGACCCAACTGCCGGATGATTTGGCTAGGGCTCAGTGACATTTCACTAATCCTATAAATGCATCAAAAGTTACTATACCACATAAAGAAATGTTTATCATTGTAATTAGAAATCTTATTCATTGATGGACATGAAATAATTTTTATTTAAAGTACTTTCATACGATATAACAATGAATCTGAATAAATACATGTGAAATATAGTGCGAAAATATAACAAGGATTTCAAGAGTGATAAAAACGCCGAACTGATCAGTGGGGGTGGGGGGATTGTACATAAGGCTTAGTGTAAATACTCGATTAGAATAAATTCATTTTTTAATTTGTTGTTATTTGTAATAGGCATGATACAATAATTACAGGACAAACACTTCATACCTAGTAAATTTATCATAACCCTTTTTATAATTAATAATAAATATAATGGCAGGTTAAATAATATCCACTGATTTATTTTATAAATCCGGACAATTCGTGGGATCATGGATGCGTACTTCTGTACACTCACATATTAAAATGAAATAGTTATCCACTACTCACTAAATAGTTAAGGGAACATTTTAAGAGCGAATATTATAAACTCTTTCAAGTATTAGGCTTAGTACTTCCACATAGTCTAGTCAGTACTTGATAGTTGAGCTAATCAATGAAAAGATTGATTTCATATTAAGATAACTAAATTGTTGGTCCCATTCAATACGTCTTGAAATAACTGGAACATATTGCTTTACATTTTACAATGTTTGTTATTCAATTTTATCTTTGTATAATTAATGTGGTACGATCTTCAAAGGTCATATGAATTATGAGTAAACTATAATGAACTTTCGTCCAACATAGTTAGCTGAGGAATAACGTGAACTGTGTTACACAATCATAAAATAGACATTAAAGATTCATGATAACAGTAATCATAACAATGACTCATTTATTATCTGCTTAGATAATTTCACTAATATATTCTGAATAAAAATGAAGTTAAAAATAGAACTATGTAGTCGTATTGAAATATCCGTCACGTTTCCAAAGCTTTATTAAAATCTCAAATGTTCTAAGTGACTTCTAATCAATATGTGACATTTCATTCTAACAACGGGTGCAATCATCTATAACTGAATATACTTTATTAATCAGTTTGGTGTTGTGAACTAGAAACGAATTTCCTTTATTTTAAAGTGATTTTCATGGTAATTCGACATTATCTTAAGAATGATTAAGAGCTAAACACCATTGGAGAGACGATTCATTCATGCCTGATACTTGTCAATAGAACACAACGACCACATACATCTATGTATCATGGTAAGCATAATGCTTTTAAGTAAGTGGTTTGGAATACAAAGGTACTTACTCAAAGCACCAGTTATTGAAACATCATGCAGATAATTGTTAACCAATATGAAACTTATGTCTAGACCTTTATACTGGATTGCTTATTATCACCTGTCAGTTTCTAGTAATAAAATTGTGGCGTATAAGAAAAATCACTTAAAGAATCTCAATTCAGATCACGTTTGTTAACCAATTTGTTTTGCTCTATGGATGTTATGAGATTAGCTTGTTTAAACGTCTATATATGATCATAGACGCTAGAACTTTAAAAGTCAGTTAACATAAAAACACGTAAAGATTTTTTCCGCTTTATTTAAAGACTGACAATTTTAGCACCAACTATTTGACTTTATTAATTACTGGACAATTTTACGAGGGAAAAATTATGATGAAATGATATAGAGATATTTTTTCGAATGGTTTAT